TCCCAGGAGTCCTTCCAGATCAACTTGCTATTTGGATTTAAGAACTGGACATGGAAAACTTGTATCCAAATTTATTTGAGACAGAGATTTTCCTTTAATGGCATCTTGACCATTGAAAATATAAAGTCATGCATTAATGTTTTAGTTTACAGTTTAATACAGCGTTCCTTGGAACACTTCATACGTGAAGCCAGAGCAGAGAAACAGAGACTGTGTTTTCCTGACACACACTATTGCTTTAAGGTACTTTTCACATCACTTGATTAATTAATTAATGAATTCTGCCACACAACTGCAGTTATTTGGGATACAATCACTGTGGAAGGAAGGCAAAGATGATTGATTAGAGCACAGCAGAGGAGCTCACTGATGTCACCACGTGACAGAACAGGATTGGATCCCAGAGGTTTCCCTAAAAACAGACTGCACAGGGACTGCTCTGTGTGTGCCCAACTGCTCTGCTGGGCAGTCATATAAGGCATTAATAAATTCAGCCGTAAAAAAAGGTGATTTTTGAGGTTGCTGAAGCACTTTGTGTGTTAAACAAGCAGGAATCCACTCCTTTAACGGGATGTTTTCGCTACTTTTCCATGCAGTGGCAGCAGAGTGGCCTGGCAGGAAGGTTCCAGAGCTCAGACCCTGTTGTCCTGAACTGGGACTAAAGCACTATTTAGCATTGCTTTGCAAAGACTAAATGTAAGTAAGTCTACATGGTTTGTTTTAGCCTTTATTTATTTTAATTAACAAGGAAAGGTAATTTAAAAATCTGGTAGTGGTTCCACACCAGCAATTTTAAGTGGCTTAAATGCCAGTTTGGACATTGCCCACGTTTGCTGTTCCTTTCTGAACAGTTTCTGTGAAAAAAGCTGAACTTGCTTTTTCCAGGTCCACCATCCCTGGGGGTTTTGGTTCTGGCAGAAGGTTGTAACAAGTGGAGAGTGACTTTCCTTTCCTTTTGGGAATGTCTGTGGTCCCAGTCCCCCCCGGGGCAGCTCCGGGCTCAGTTCAGCTGCCCCAGTGCCCGGGCTGGGCCAAGGGGCTCCGGGAGCAGGAGCAGCAGGATGGGGAGAGGAGCTCAAGGGCCCTCCAGGGACATTCCAGGGAGCCCCTCTGGAATGGGAAACAGGGCTCCCTGGGGGCTTTTTCCAGGGTTCTGGCTGGCCACTGCCTGTGGAAGTAGCTCCCTGTAAAGCACATTTTCCCAGGAAGAGCAGAGGGCAGGAGCTCTGCGGGAATGAGCCTCGGTGTGGGTGTGGGGGTGAGTGTGCCCGGGTGTGCAAACCCTGTGTGCCCCCTGCCCAGGAGGGGCAGTGCCATCAGCTGGTCCCTCTGGCAGCACGGAATGCTGTGGGAATTCCCTGGGGAGGTATTAAAGGCCAGGCAGAGCCCAGGGATGGGGTCAGTCCAGCTGGAGCAGGGGGTGGCTCAGCCCTCCTGGGCCCAGAGTCGTAGCACCGTGTGTGGAAAGCAGGGGGTGGGAGGCAAGGCTGGAGCCCAGACTGCTGGAAAAGTATTCCAAGGCACTTCATGGAGAGAAATTTAGCCAAATGTATGTATTTAAAAGCAAAATGGACTTAAAACCGTGATCCTTTGCTCATCCAATTCCAGAAAGCTGCAGCGTGCCCCCCTCCTGCTCAGGAAAGGCTCCCAGCTTTCCTGGGGGCCCCCGGGTGGATTCGGCAGCGGGGGTGGTCGGAGCCTCCCCCTCCTGCCCAAACGGCCAGGCCTGGAATTTGGGAAGGGAAGAGCCCGGGATTTTCTCAGTGTTTTCTCCTTTTGCAGCCCTGGTTTGAACAGCACAGGACTGGGCCAAAGCAGCTCCGTGAGTGGACTGTTCCCCCTTTGGCCTCCCAGGGCCCCAAAGGGTTCCCTGCAGACCTCGGCCTCCTTCCCAGGCCCTGGGGCTGTCCCGGGGCTGTGAGTGCTCTGCAGGTGCCCCCCGGGCACCATCCCGGGGCCTTCCTGGCTGTCCCAGTCCCTGCAGCAGGAACAGGCTCCTCACAGGCACCGCCACACGAACACACTGCGGGAGAGAGAGCGGGGAATGAACCTCGGGCACAGCCCAGGGACACAGGAGAGAGGGGGGATAAAGGCAGGGTGGGAGAGGGTGAAATAAAGACAATTTGGGGTGTGTGTGTGAAACAAAGACTATTTGGGGAGGTGAAATAAAGACTATTTGGGGGGGTGAAATAAAGACTGGACCCTGGAGCTCCTCCCCAACTGCCAGCACTGGATCCTTCCCAGGAGAGAGGGAACCACTGTGGAGGTGTGTGTGTGAGTGGGGTGTGATGTGTGTGGAACGTGTGTGTGGTGCATGTGTGTGGGGGGGTGTTGGCTGTGTGACGTGTGTGCATGTGGGATGTTTGTGTGTGGGGGGGGGACACATCTGGCTGTGTGATGTGTGTGTGTGCATGTGGGACGTGTGTGTGGGATGTCTGGCTGTGGGATGTGTGTGTTTGGGATGTGTGTGTTTGGGATGTGTGTGTTTGGGATGTGTGTGTTTGGGATGTGTGTGTGGGACGTGTGTGTCTGTGTGGGACGTCTGGCTGTGTGTGGGTGGGGGAGTGTGGGATGTGTGTGTGTGGGTCGTGTCTGTGGGACGTGTGTGTGTGTGGGACGTGTGCATGTGAGGGGGATGTGTGTGTGGGACGTGTCTGTGGGACGTGTCTGTGGGGTGTGTGCGTGTGTGGAACGTGGAATATGTGTGGGGGGGACGTGTGTGTGGGATGTGGGACGTGGGTATGGGGTGTGTGGGGGGGACGTGTGTGTGTGGGGGTGTGGGACGTGTGTGTGGGACGTGTGCATGTGTGGGACGTGGATGCGTGTGGGGGGGACGTGTGTGTGGGATGTGTGTGTGTGTGAGAGAGACGTGTTGGGGGGACATGTGTGGGATGTGTCTGTGTGGGTGGTGTCTGCATGTGACCTGTGGGGGGGAATGTGTGTGTGTGTGACGTGTGTGTGTGTGTGGGACATGTGTGGAATGTGTGTGTATGGGATGGGGGGACGTGTATGTGTGTGTGGGATGTGTGTGAGGGAGACGTGTTTTTGTGACGTGTGTATGCGATGTGTGTGTGGGATGTGTGTGGGGGTGAGTGACGTGTGTGTGACGTGTGTGGGATGTGTCTGTGTGTGACGGGGGGGGTGAATGAAGAACACACAAAACCCACGCAACAACACGCTACAACATACTAAGAACATGCTAAAACAATGCAACACGCTACGAACATGCTACAACAAACTACAACATGCTAAGAACTTGCAACACACTAAGAACATGCAAGAACACAATAACAAGCTAAGAACATGCAAGAAAACACAGAACACGCAACAACACGCTAAGAACACGCAACAACATGCTAAGAACATACAACAACACGCTAAGAACACACAGCACGCTAAGAACACGCAATTCTGGAAATTTCTGGAAAATTCAGGAAAGGAAATAAAATCTCAGAAAAGGAAAGTTCTTAAAAGTTCTGGAAAATTCTGGAAAGTTCTGGAATGTTCTGGAATTTTCCAAAAGGAAATAAAATTTCAGAAAAGGAAATTTCTGGAAAGTTCCAGAAAGTTCTGGAAATTTCAGGAAAGTTCCAGAAATTTCTAGAATTTTCCAAAAGGAAACAAAATTTCAGGGCAGGAAATTTCTGGAAAGTTCCGGAAAGTTCTGGAATTTTTGGAAAGGAAATAAAATTTCTAAAAAGGAAATTTCTGGAAAGTTCCGGAAAGTTCCGGAAATTTCTGGAATTTTCCGAACAGAAATAAAATTTCAGGACAGGAAATTTCTGGAAAGTTCCGGGAAGTTCTGGAAATTTCTGGAATTTTCTGAAAGGAAATAAAATTTTAGAACAGGAAATTTCTGGAAAGTTCCGGAATGTTCTGGAAATTTCTGGAATTTCCAGAAAGGAAATAAAATTTCAGAAGAGGAAAGTTCTTAAAAGTTCTGGAAATTTCTGGAAAGTTCTGGAAATTTCTAGAATGTTCTGGAATTTTCCGAAAGGAAATAAAATTTCTGAAAAGGAAATTTCTGGAAAGCTGTGGAAAGTTCCGGAAAATTCTGGAATTTTCCGAAAAGAAATAAAATTTCAGGAAAGTTCCGGAAAGTTCCGGAAATTTCTGGAATTTTCTGAAAGGAAATAAAATGTCAGAAAAGGAAAGTTCCGGAAAGTTCTGGAAATTTCAGGAAAGTTCCAGAAATTTCTGGAATTTTCCAAAAGGAAATAAAATTTCAGGGCAGGAAATTTCTGGAAAGTTCCGGAAAGTTCCAGAAAGTTCTGGAATTTTCGGAAATGAAATAAAATTTCTAAAAAGGAAAGTTCCGGAAAGTTCCGGAAATTTCTGGAATTTTCCGAACTGAAATAAAATTTCAGGACAGGAAATTTCTGGAAAGTTCCGGGAAGTTCTGGAAATTTCTGGAATTTTCAGAAAGGAAATAAAATTTCAGAGAAGGAAATTTCCGGAAAGTTCTGGAAAGTTCCGGAAAGTTCTGGAAATTTCTGGAATTTTCAGAAAGGAAATAAAATTTCAGAAAAGGAAAGTTCTTAAAAGTTCCGGAAAATTCTGGAAAGTTCCGGACATTTCTAGAATGTTCTGGAATTTTCCGAAAGGAAATAAAATTTCAGAAAAGGAAATTTCCAGAAAGTTCCGGAAAGTTCTGGGAATTTCTGGAATTTTCAGAAAGGAAATAAAATTTCAGAAAAGGAAAGTTCTGGAAAGCTCCAGAAAGTTCTGGAATTTTCTGGAATTTTCAGAAAGGAAAAAAAAATTGCAGAAAAGGAAATTTCTGGAATGTTCCGGAAAGTTCCAGAAAGTTCTGGAAATTTCTGGAATTTTCAGAAAGAAAATAAAATTTCAGAAAAGGAAATTTCCGGAAAGTTCTGGAAATTTCAGGAAAGTTCCAGAAATTTCTGGAATTTTCCAAAAGGAAATAAAATTTGAGAAAAGGAAATGTCTGGAAAGTTCTGGAATGTTCTGGAATTTTCAGAAAGGAAAAAAAAAAATTTCAGAAAAGGAAAGTTCCGGAAATTTCCGGAATTTTCAGAAAGGAACGTGTTCTTAGCGTGTTCTTAGCGTGTTGTTGCGTGTGCTTAGCGTGTTGTTGCGTGTGCTTAGCGTGTTGTTGCGTGTTCTTAGCGTGTTGCGTGTGCTTAGCGTGTTCTTAGCGTGTTGTTGCGTGTTCTTAGCGTGTGCTTAGCGTGTTCTTAGCGTGTTCTTAGCGTGTGCTTAGCGTGTTGTTGCGTGTTGTTAGCGTATTCTTGCGCATTCTTAGCGTGTTGTTGCGTGTTCTTAGCGTGTTCTTAGCGTGTTGTTGCGTGTGCTTAGCGTGTTCTTGCGTGTTCTTAGCGTGTTGTTGCGTGTTCTTAGCGTGTTCTTAGCGTGTGCTTAGCGTGTTGTTGCGTGTGCTTAGCGTGTTGTTGCGTGTGCTTAGCGTGTGCTTAGCGTGTGCTTAGCGTGTTCTTGCGTGTTCTTAGCGTGTTCTTAGCGTGTTGTTGCGTGTGCTTAGCGTGTTGTTGCGTGTGCTTAGCGTGTTGTTGCGTGTTCTTAGCGTGTTCTTGCGTGTGCTTAGCGTGTTGTTGCGTGTGCTTAGCGTGTTGTTGCGTGTTCTTAGCGTGTGCTTAGCGTGTTGTTGCGTGTGCTTAGCGTGTTGTTGCGTGTGCTTAGCATGTTGTTGCGTGTTCTTAGCGTGTGCTTAGCGTGTTGTTGCGTGCTGTTGCGTGTTGTTGCGTGTTCTTAGCGTGTTGTTGCGTGTGTTTAGCGTGTTGTAGCGTGTTCTTAGCGTGTTGTTGCGTGTTCTTAGCGTGTTGTTGCGTGTTCTTAGCGTGTTCTTAGCGTGTTGTTGCGTGTGCTTAGCGTGTTCTTAGCGTGTTGTTGCGTGTGCTTAGCGTGTTGTTGCGTGTGCTTAGCATGTTGTTGCGTGTGCTTAGCGTGTGCTTAGCATGTTGTTGCGTGTGCTTAGCATGTTGTTGCGTGTTGTTGCGTGTGCTTAGAGTTTTTTTTCATGTGTCTTGCATTTCTTTTCTTTTCGTGGTCTAGCTTGTTCTTTGCTTCGCGTGTTGTGGCATGGGCTTAGCGTTTCTTAGCAGTGTTGTTGCGTGTCGACGTGGTGTTCGTGTGAGTAGCGGGGGGGTGCATTTTCTTAGCAGGTGCGTGCGGGTGCTTAGCGGGTGCTCTTAGCGGTTGTTGCATGGTCGGAGCGTGTTAGTAGCGGGGGGTTGCGTGTGCGTAGCGGGTGGGTGCGTTGCTTAGCGTGTTGTTGGGGTGCTTAGCGGTTCGACGTAGGGTGGCATGTTCTTGCGTGTGCTTA